TTTCTCTGATAACTTAAGATCCAGACATCCAATGAATAAAATCCTTCATCTGGTTAAAATACACAGTTGAAAGTGACCAAGATATAAAAAGTGTAAAACTGTTTAGAAACATTTAGGATAATGTAAGTACACAACTCAGTAAAGGATATAACATAGGTTTTAATGTGGGACATTTTGTGTGCGTGCGTGTGTGTGCGTGTGCGTGTGTGTGCAGGAGATTTCTAAAAGGCACTGCATGTATTACAATCCACTATAGATGCATCTTAATTGCTCTGTAATTCAGAGTTAATCCAAAACACATTTTTCATTAGTAAAACTACTCAATTATTCTGTGAATATACCTGTGATTTATATGGTCAAAAAAAGAGCCATTAACATTCCCTTGTGCTCACTAGCATGTATAGCGATTGGCCTCCAACTACATTGTGACTCATCCCACAGGGATGCACAGTCTTCTAAGCCCTGCCTGCTCCTCACCTCCATAAATAATTCATTTAGCACAGCATGAAAAACGCATGTCAATTAGCCAGGTTTATTTTTTTAGTGAAAAACAGGGGGTCTCTTTTCATAACGGCTCAAGAAATGCATTGAAACAGTGCATTATTTAGCATTCTTCTGTAGTGTGACAGTGTCAGTTATTCTGTTTGATTTGAGCAGGCATATCTTTTTTTATTAGACGGGATAGGTTCAAAGTTCACGTGCTGTGAAACTGCTGTGATTGACCTTAGTTCCTATTACTCCTTTAAAAGCACCCATATTCTATATATCAACTTTTGCTGCTGAATGTAGTGTAAATACTAAAGCTCATTGAGCTATTGACTTGCTCTTTTCCTTTCTGTCTTAGTATTTAGTGACACTAACAATAACACCAGTGGGCTACAGATGAACTTCAATCAACACAGGAATTTTAGAAATAACTTGTAACATACAAATACTGTCTGTGTAAGTAGTCACAGAGCCAGTCAAGCTGATACACCGGACATAGTGTAGATCTAGCTGTAGGTGCAGACCCACCATGTTATTGTAATTCCTCTCTTGATGAATAGGAAAAATGCAGTCCAATCTAATCTGTAATTAAATCAGTGATTAATATAAAATGCAGTGGATTAGGAGAGTAAGTCCTATCACTTCCTGTTAAGTTTCCATAGCAAGTATCCTCTGGGAACACCCAAACTGAAGGGTAGCTTGTCAGCACATTGGGTTTCTCTGAATAGATGTATGATTGCAGACTTTTTGAAAAAAAAAATATGATGTGTATTTCAAATTAGAGTTTTATAGTTCATTCTTGACCTTGGAAACAGGTGACTAAACTATCTAACATCAAGGTAAACTTACTGTTGAAATTGCAAATGAAAGTTAACTAAGGCCTAATTTAGTTTTAAATGGCCTGCTACCAACTTTTATCTGATACCCAGCCAGTCTCTCTAGGAGTCCTGGACCAGGACTCAAAGAGAACATTTTAGTTATTTTGGGATCTGGAGTTGTGAGGTGTGGAACACTCACTGTTAGCATAATTTGACAGAAGTGTCTCCTCACTCTGATAATGACATTTTTATGTAGAAACATTAGTTGTTGCACCTAACTTAAAATCTCGATCATTACACTGCATGAGCTGTATGTACTATCTATAAATATAACACCACTTTTTAATGGGCATTTTTGAGAATAATGCTTGAGTTTCCCTGATTTTAAGTAACCCACTAATGTACTGCAGCTATTACTAAATGTGAGTTTGGTAATAAGAGACACGAGTCGAAGATGCTTCATGATGTGAAAGGATTGGGTGCTCTTAAAACAATGATAGTTTTAATTTGGATTTGAAATCATACGTCAGTCAAAGTTGAACAGCAGACAAAATAAACTTATGTTTAGATTCAGCGTGACGTAGATTTCCTAAGGATATCTCTCAGAATTATCTCCAGTGTCTGTTGCAAATAAACATCCATAAATCTGCTTGGAAATCATAGAGAAAAGATGCTCCTTATAATAAAAACGCCTGAGAGTCAACACCTTTTTCAGTTTTGTCCACTACCAAAATAATCCAGTGACAGTTGTCTGTACATCCCTGTGTACATGCAAACAAACTGTGTTTAGCTAATTTAATGCTTTTAATTACACCTACTTGCCGAAATATAAACAAATAAAGGCTTAAAAAAAGGGCTCAGAGTGTCAGTCTTTGAAAATCGCTGTTCTAAGCTAATTGGAGTTGGTAACAGCAATTTTAAATCTAACCAGGAACTCCATTTTCTATTTTCTTCCTGACCCTCTCCTTGTTCTACCTGTCTGGAACCACACTGCTTTAATGAAGCGCAAGTCTTCACTGGACTTAAAATGTTTTAAGTTTAACCTTTCCAAAAATAGAGATGTTTTGTTGGTTTGTCAGTTTGCTCGCCGAGGAAGGCTTGCTCTCATAAAGGAACTAAGACCGTAGTGTACTCCCAGAGGGTTCAAGGCCAGCAGACACAAAACAGAAGATCAGTTTTTCATAATAACTGAGTAAGTTTAAATTTAACAACACTACACTTTAATCAAAGTGGGATTTACAGACATACTGCTCAAGACATAGGGGACTACCCTGGAGTTATTGTCAGCAATGAACTTCAGGAGCAGCCCTGTTGCTTGGTTACTGTGCCTGCAGTGAATCGTGACTCTGATGGCCCTGGGCTGCTGAGGTAGAATTTGCCCAACTGAACTGGATTTGAGACTTTGCTTATACAGAATTTGATATTCTCTGTGTGCGAGCGCCAGGTGAAAGAAACCAAAAACACAGAACTTTTCCTTAGAATCATAAATATATTTAGATCTCTCACTCGTTCTTTCTCTCTCTTTCACGTTTTCCTCTCACATCCTTGGCCAATATGAAAGCCAAGAAAACTTCAATTATAGCATAGAAATGACACTAAAGCAAAAACTGTTAAAAGGCACACTAAAACTAACGGTGCTTGTAGCCCTCTTCAACTACACGACAAGTGTGTGTGTGTGTGTGTATGTGTGTGTGTAATTCAGTAAACTTTATAATGAAGTTATAGTGTGAACACCACTCGCATCTCGTCATATTGCAGTTGAAGATAAGAAGCAAGCTTTGACACAGTGGTTTAAATATCACTGTTTGGGAATAATGAAACAGTCACCAGGGCTCTGGTGTAAGACTTAACTTCACTACCAGCCTTCTAGTGGAGAAGTGGACTTAAAGTGACAGTGAGATGTGACTTTTTTTTTCTTTTTTTTCTTTTTGCTGTGGCAAGAGTCACAGTGAGACACTGCTATAGTCAGATGCAGTGGATGATGCTTAATCAAATACAAATGCTGAGGTGCCCTGAGTTACCTCTAGAGACTGAGGCAGAGGAGTTGGAAGCTGGTGAGTGTGGTTCAGCTGGAGTAAGGTTGAGAAGGATTTGCAGGCAGATCAACGTTATATTAACTTACACTTAAAATAAACTTTGTAGCTATATATCAGCTTTAGACTTGTGTTCGTTGGTGAGTATAGTCAAATCAATCTGTAGTTTATTCCCTTGTTAAGCCTTGTGCTAGTCCTGGTCAGGACAGTCTCATCCACATAGGAAATCTCAGGGAAGTGGCTGTATGCTACTCTGTAACCGAGGTGGTGTCAGTTGACCACATTCTCCAAACCAACCAGATAGTCTTCATCCTTGATGTCTTTTCTTTTGTAAAATCAAAAATACTGTTTGAAAACACTTCTGATAAAACATAAATCTTACCTATGTGTCAAATGTGAAAATATGTCTTTAAATCTGAGTCCACAAGCTTTTAGCTCTGTATCAGGAATGAGCATGTGTGCATGCACTCCCACATGCCTGTGTGTTAGCACACTGTGTGTGCAGCAGCCTCTGTTGTTTTCTGTTTTTTTTACTGTGATATTGAATTTGGTATAGAGAACTGTGGAATTTACTTGTTATTGGTACAGAGTACCAAATTTCTGATATTGTGGCATCCCTACTCTACAGTTGGTTAGTTGCAGAAAATAATATGAACAAGGAACAGCAAAGGCAGCCGCTAAAAAAAAACAAAAAGGTCAGTAACACTTGTAATTTGTTATACATGTTGTGTTCACCATTGGTAGTCGTGACTGGTAAGACCGAATACGAGAGTCTACGTCATCAAGTAGTGTGGACGCCAGGCGTGAATGTAGCAAAAGAAATCCGCTTTTGACTAAAACATATTAATGTGGCTGTAGTATGAGTGTGGAATAGGTGTGGAAAAGGCCCATGTGGTTTTCAGGGAGAATAAACACCCACTTCAATTCTGTTTCTTACCGTCGGGTACGAATGGGTGCTTTCTCCCATCTGACCTTGAGGGAAGTAATGAGCCTATTGCTGTTTGGCGCACCAGAATGAGGCGACGTATTGTCAGTGTCTTTCTGTTTTACAAGAGAAAAGAATTAAAGGATGGAAACAAATCGGGTGGTTTGGCAAATGTGCATCTGGTTAACTGCCCCAGCACTGCTTCAGGTGTGACTTGATAAATTGGAGTATTGAAACATGAAATATGCTTGATGACTTGATCCCACAGAGAACAGTACCTCAGACTGCTTGTTATTAACTGCGCATTTACCTCCTTGAAGTATTAATTTTTGCATTTTTGTGTAATTACACACAAAGGTCCCAATTAAAAAAAAAAAAAAAAAAGCGCAAATAGCTACAGTTAAGGTTACTCATCACTCCATATTTGTGTCAGATTCAGGTTGCACTTCTGTTGGCATTACTTTACTGATAGAAAAGCTCTGACAACTCTTTTTAAACTACAGTAAACACAATGTCCTGCTTCAGGGCCAGTAGGCTATATTTTGTATTAACCTCTTGTTCTTTGATTCGGTGAGTACAGTTCACCCTCTAACGTTCCAATGCCATTATATTGTGTTGTGTGTGAATGGGCTGTTTACAGCAGAGACTGTGGTGAGGGACGGAAGGCACTTTGATTTTAATGCATGTCCAGAGCACAAAACACACATCGTTGAGAGAAGACTTTGTTTTATTTCAGTGGATTCTTACATAGCACAAACATGAACAAAACAACAACAAAGTGATCGAATTCTTCTGTACATAGCTAAATGTACTTATAGTGTTATCTTTTAAAATGCAGAGCAGGTTCAAATGCAGACTCAGTTTGAAAAATTACAGTATATACACACATAAATATGTATATATAAAATATAAAAAGATCAGTTGTCATCAACGTCAAACTTTAAAGGTAGCGTATGAGGCTGGAGCTCTTGAAAAATAAAAGTTTCTTATCATAAAATGCACAATGATTAATTGCAACTCATCTACATCTTTAAAAGTCATTCATATAGTACATGTTCAGTATCAACACCATTTTTAAATATATGAATGAGCTCAAATTAGTAAAATGGCATTTACCATTGGTAAAATCAAAGAGTCATTGCATCAAATTGCCCAAAAATCTAATGTAAAACAAAGAATATAAACCACTGACCATAACGAAAGTGAAATAACAAAAGCAAAAACCCACAACCACTGCAACATCATCCTTAGGGATTTACTTGAGTGATAAAAGGCAGTGTAATTACATTCTCTGGTACCATTTTATGATAAGTCATCTTTTATTGGGGGTTTATATCCTTTATCTAAAGATTTTTATTACCTAATAATTCATTCACTAAATGCTTTATAGTTCACTTATAAGCCATTAATAAGAAAAACTTTTGGACTACCAGCTTGTAAAAATCTCTTTGGCCTGGTGTTTATCCTCCTCCAGCATGGTACCTGTTTGACAATGACCTTTTGGGAAAGATCTGTAGACCATCTGGTCCACAGTTCATTTTTAACAGCTGATTAACATTTACAGCTGCAAACTTTAAGTAAGGAAGGGGTCTTACAATAATTAATGTCCTGCTGGAGGAAGAAGACCACACAGAGATTTTTCATCATCCAGCAACACAAAAGTTGTTTGTTAATAGTTTACAACTAATCTATAAAACATTAGCTAATTACTGACCAACAATATTTTTTATGCTTTTATTTCTGTTAAGCACATTCAATGACCTCTGTGTATGATAATGTGCTATACAAATACATTTGCCTAGCTTTGCTTAGATACTGGTATAAAACATTGTTAGTTATTATGTTTTGGTCTAAGTAACTCACACCAGACTGTAAGTACTGCCACCAAAATAACTAAAACACCTTCTTGACACCATAGGATGGGAAAACAGATACAAGGAATATTTAAGAAAGTATATTACAAAAATTTGTTGCCACTTAAAACTTCTGTTTTACAAAGGGAACCAAAGGGGAATGAGGGTAAGGGGACAAAGCTCTAGCCCTGCTGGCTAGCCTCTCTTTGTTGGCTTTCTTTCTGCCGGTAGTGAAAGAGACTGGTAGTGTCAAGCTCACCTGCGTAGTGAATAGCTTCAGCAAACAGCTTCACCACCTAATACATAGGAAAAACAGGAGAGACAGTGTGTAAATGTAAACTGACATATAAACCACTTTTCCCCAGTCGCTGGTATTGTGACATTTACAGACCTGGTAATTTGTGATGAGTGGAACACCGTGGTCGACAGCCATTCTGCGGATGAGGAAGTTGTCCTTTAGGTGGCGAGTGTTGTTATTGGGCAAGTTGACCACCAGGTCAATATGACCCTCGTTGATCAGTCTGAAAAAACGAGCAAAAAAAAAAAAACCGTCATCGATCATAATCAAAAAATTTAAACCACTTAAAAGCACAAGCTGCAATATTTTTGACAGACATCCAAAATCAACTAGTGAATGATAAAAAAAATTATTTGAATATATAGCAGGCCAACATGACCCAGATATATTACTTAATTTAGTGTGCCCATAAAGTGCTGTTCCTGCTGGATGTAGACATAGGCACTAAGCAGTCCATTGCTAATGTGTTTGCTGTTTGACCAAGCAGTATAAAAGAGCTCTGCTGCTGTGAGTTTGTTTCAGACAATTTCTGCCTCCTAGTGGTCAAATATAAACATGCAGCGGGCATGTTTATATTTAGTTGGCCTGATCTTCTTTGTACACATCATCGTAATATGTGGAAAATAATGCTACATTTCTGTTTTAGGCTGATTACACAGTCAGTTTCATGTCATTTTTGTCCAAATAAATGTTCTTCCCAGAAATATTAAAGCTTTTCAACTGAGTGAAAAACAAAGTTTAGTTTATTAGAAGTTTTAGAAGTATTAGAATATTTTACCCATTGATATAGCTCACTTACTCACTCGCAGAATGACAGAGTGCATCCCCTAGCCCCTTACCCTAATCCTAACTATCACAACTAAATGCCCAACCCCCCACCAAGTCTTAACCTTCAAACAGGCCTTTGAGGTTATGCGGACTCACCACAATGTCCTCACATTCACAAAATGCCCTCAATTCAGTAACTCACAAAGATAACTGGTCCTCACAAAGATAGAAGTTCAAGTGTACACATACACACAGTAGAGCCCTGACTTCAGTGTCGCCTTTTTCATTTGAAGTCCTTTGACAGGCAGCATTGAATTAGTGGTGAATTCTAATGGAAAATATGGAGGACAGACAGCAGTGACAACAAAGGTCATGTACTTCTTTATAAAGGGTAGGCCTCTATGCCGCCTCACACAGCTGATGCCATCCAGCCGTGTGTGTGTGTGTTGTCTTGGTCTATGCCTATTAAATTCCCTTTAAATCCTCTTCTTCACCAGCTCATTCCCAAATATGTGGTCCAGATGGCTTCACTGTAGTATGATCATGACTTGTTTGTGGAGTAATTACGTGAAAATTGCAGTCACCGTCAGCCTGCTACAATTATTCTATGCTGCTAGAAGCTGTGAAAAATGTTATACCTCTGACAACTGAACTAGGGCTGAACGATTTGGGAAAAATATCAAATTGCAATTTGCTTTTTTTTTTTTTTTTTTACCAATATTGAGATTACGATGTCATATGCAAACATTTTTTATTAGTTCCTTATCTTCTGTATTATTCAACAAACACAAGCAATAAATCATTCTATATATATATATATAAATAGAAAAAAGGCCTTCAGCTTTCCTGTAGGTTTTCAGCTCCGCTGCGACTCGCAGCTTGCATTTTTATATAGCTCTGGTATGGCAACCTGGCTAAAATATGTGCAGGAGGGCATGTTGTACCGCTTATATATGCATTTAGCAAAGCCGTAAACCCAGGCTTGGTCACTGTGCTGAGGCATCATATCTTTCTCTATGAACTCTGTTATTGCCTGAGTTATTTCCCCGTGCTGTTTTGAATTACGTTCATATGGAATTATGTTTTCAAACATTTCGGTCAGGGATCCTTGTGTGGGGCTTTATGGCTTACTTGACACACTCGACGGCATTTTAGCCATGCAACTATCATACATGGCTTTGTAGTGTTTTTTTAATTGCTGATACAGGTTAGTAGTGTTGCCCTGTGACGTAGCAAGGCAGGTTCTGCACAATACCTGAGGCTGTGCACCATGTTCTTTTTTTTAAAGCCAAAATAGTTCCACACAACCGACGTACTGCTCCTCTTTGACACTAAAGTTTCTGCAGTGCCAGGTTCTGTCAAGCCTGAGGCCATTATTCAACAGGTCAAAGTGTAGCGTGCCAAGTAGTTGCTCCCTCTTTTAGCTGACTGCTCTACTCTTGCTTACATGTCAGTTGACCAGAGTCTAATCGCAGCCTTTGTGCTTAGAAAATCATGTTTTATCATATCGTGATATAATCATAAAAGTGAACACATTCTAAAGCGAAAGTGACCAGTGGCAAATGATTTAAGTTTAATTTCAACAATAGGTGGAAGAAATGTAGACATCTTCAATTTAACTGACATTTTAGTTAATTACACTTACAGTTGTCCTAGATCTTTTTTTGCTAAAACAAAGTTTAGTAACACTCTTGCTTTATTTTTGGCCATGGCCAAATGAAGACCAAGACACTTCAGCTGTATTTTTTTTGATTTCCCCAAACTTGACTTGGCGTTGCTCTGACATAAGACTTTCCTCATCCTCCCTATTCAAGCCCTAGTCTGGTTAATGTAATGACTGTGGACTTCAGAGTCTGCTACATCTGCTTTGATCTTGTCAGCATATTACAGTGATAATGAAGGGGCTATGCCCTTAGATCTTAAGGCAGTATCTTATGCTGATTAGATATCCCAATTTTGGATCCAATGAATCACAATTTATGTATTACTTAAGCACTGCCTCAGGAAAACCATAAGCAAATCTCATCCTCAAAGTTTTGACTCAGAGTAGCTTAGCTGGCTTTGTTTTCCATGTTTCCATGAATCTGTCAAAAAAAAAATTAAAGCATTAAAATTAACATTCCCCTACCTCTTAATACTAGGCAAACTGGTGTTTTCACCCTTCTCAGTGGGCCAGGCGACTGGAGTGGCAGGTACATCATTGGCGCACAGCCAGGCAGAAGTGGCTTCAGTAGCATAGAGCTATAAGACAGAAATAGGGCAACATTATTACTGGGGTATGTCTTTTTTTCCATTTCTTAATAAAGGCAGAAACATTACAACCAGGAAGCTCCATCAACCACTGTGTTGAAATCACACAGGAAAATATATCTTATATTTAATGAGAAGCCTGGTCTGTAGTGTTTGAAACATTCAAGCTTCCAGCACTCACCTTGAAGCCCTCCTCTTTTAGTTGGTGTGCTGTGGCCAGGAAATTGGGTCGGAACGAATGCTGGAAGGGAAGCAGACACATTTTTGAAAAACAAAAGGATAAAACAACATATGAATACCAGCAGAATGAGTGTTTTGATATGGGGTTCTGTTCAAACATAATGCATAACAGAAATTGTATGAGACAAACTCCATCATGTACTGTTCATCATTGAAAGCTTGTTCTAAATCTGCCCTGATCTCTTGGTCCCTCTTCCAAACCATTAGTCTTACTGTGCTTCAGAATGATTGTAATTAAGACTGTAGATGTGGAGCTATTTTACGCTGTGTTAGGCAATTATTACAGAACAAGACAAACTTTGGAGACTAAGAAAGATCTCACAATGCAATGCCATAGCTGCAACACTGATTTTTTTTTAACTTTTTGTTGCATTAAAGTTAACCAAATATTGTAGCATATTATACTGATACTAGTATCAGTATGATGTATTATTATACACAACATAATGCGCAGAAAACGAAGGGATCTGAATTATTTCAGAAGATACTATAGCTGACATGGCTCGGGAGGAGGCTATACGTCACTAGGTTGGATTTGTTATCAACACAACACAGTGAGGATGTAAAGGAAGAAAAAAAATCATTTTGTAATGCATTTATGTTGTTAGATATCAGTTTCAAATGACCTACTTAACAGATTCCACCAAGCATAAAGCACAAAAGTGCTGAAAACTCTTCTGTGAGTTTTTGCTGCTGATTTGCAACTGATTATGCTCAAACTGGGTGCCCTTCAGCTCAGTAAACAATGTGCTTGTTAAAATTACTGCTGTCCCACCAAAATAATTGTGATATGGTTTGAAATTTTTTGTATATTTTTGAGCCTACCTTAGTAAGCCATATGTGACATATACGTTTCTAATTTGGTGTGCAATTGTGTCACAGCTGCATAATTTGTACAAAAAAAGGTGGGCCTAATTAAAAAGACAGAGGCAGACAGAGAGAATTAGAGTGTGTGATAAAGAGAGAGAGAGAGAGACTGTGAGTTAAACAGCAACAGGTGGGGAGACAGTAACAACTAAAGGGACTGTAGCTGTGTTCCAATATACTAATGCCATAAAATATACACTGTGCACTCTTCTTCATAGTACATTGTTTTCACTATAATGTACGAGTTGAATAATGAGCATCAAAACACCAGCACACACAGCGGCAACGCCCTGACACTTGTCATCATGGATTGACTTGGAACAATTCTTTAGTATACATTGTCCGTTTCCAACTGATGTGTGTCAACATTTCAGACTAGAGTTACCGGCTTGCAATTGTATGCCTCCGCCAACCAGCCAAGTTGCAGGAAATATGGTCACAATATCCCCTTCCTGAGTTACAGCATTGAATATTGGCGAGAAATGTTTTTGCAGAACATTATGATGTCACAGTGAAGTCGACCTTTGACCATTTAGATATAAAAAGTAATCTCTTCATCATTTTATCCTATTAGATATTTGTTTTAAATTATGTCATAATTAACACACGATTTTGTGAGTTATGGCCAAAATGTGTCTTTTGAGGTCACAGTGACCTTGACCTTTGAGCATAAATTTCTAATCGGTTCATCTTTGAGTCCAAGTGAATGTTTATGCCAAATCTGAAGAAATTCCCTCAAGGTGGTCTTGATTATCATGAATTCAAGAGGCCAAAAAGGTGTTTTGTGAGGTCAGTGACCTTGATTTTTGACCACCAAAATCTAATTAATTCATCCATCAGTCCAAGTTAACATTAGTGCAAGATTTGAACAGATTCCCTTGAGAAGTTCCGGAGATATTGCGTTCACAAGGCCAAAACCATGTTTCATGGTGTCACTGTTACCTTAATCTCCAAAAACTAATCAGTTCATCCTTGAGTCCAAGATAGATAAGATCGATACTTTATACATCCCCTGGGGGAAATTCAATTGTCCAGCAGCTATATACAGTATAGTTAATGTTTGAAGAAATTCCCTCAAGGCATTACTGATATATTATGTTCACAAGAATGGGATGGCCATACAAACAGACGGACAGAACACCTGAAAATATAATGTTGGTGCGGGGGCACAAAAAGCTGCTTTTATAGTGTTTCGGGCTGAAAATGATTTTCCTTAATGGGGCTATTTCTAATGTAATCTGCAACGCTACAAAAACTAAAGTTAGCTAATGTTATGTTAGCTTTCTAAGCGTTGGAATACTATATTAAACTAACCTGCTGCTTACTTTAGAGCAGACATATTATCCCTTGTATTCATGTTGTTGTGTTTTTGCCTTTGTAAAAGCAAAAGGCAACAAAAAATTACACTATCTTCCAGACTTTGGATTACGAAAGTACTACTCTAGTAGGCCCTGCATACACGTTGAAATGTTGAAGACTCCAAAGCCTAATAGAGAAGCCCAGTAATGGTTGCTTAGCCGTGACTATGCAATCAAGCAAACAGTTGGCTGAGGGATTTAGCAAATGTAGAACACAGAAAGATGGCAGCAATAACAGACAGACAGACACAGTGTTAAATGTGTAAGGATACGCAGGATGATGCATCTCTAATATAGGACATCCACACCCAAACAAAATATAGAAACTGAATAACTGTGTTTCTATGAATTTACTTCTTGAAATATGTAGCTCAAGGGCTGGTAACACATTAGTCAAATTTGCCAGCAGAATATTCATAACACATCTACATGAGGAATACTGCACCAACAATAACAGTTTAGTACAAGGGAGTCCCCATACTAATATGACATTTCAATACTGCCTGTGTGAAACTGAAATTTACCGCCCTCAAGCTTGAGGCCACAGTCTTTTCCACTAGACTGCCTCACAAGATTGCACAGTCAAATGAAAACAATTTTAATCCCCCTACCACAATATTTGTTTAAACGGTAGGAGGTAAATCTCAGTGTTGCCCTGTGTTCTGTATGTCGACCCTAACTGTTGCTGCTCGTCAGCCATGTTATAGTGAGTATGTGACCCCAGGCACTTGCCTTGAAGTGGACCTGTTCCCCAAGAGCACCAATTACACAGCTAGTGTTGTGAGTGCTTTGTTCAAGCTGCATTAGTCAAACTCACAGTTTGGCAACCCAGGGTAGCAGCGAGACTTAATTACTAAAACTCATGTAATGTGCTGTCATTAAAAAGTACAGAGCCCAGGCTTACATTTTGTTCTTTTCTGTGGGTGTGGATTGGGAAGGGTAGAGAGATGTTGTTGCAGCACAATTATCTAGAAATGAGGATTCAAGACTTCTTTTGACAGAGCATTTGGTTGATGAGGAAAACATTTTTACATTTCACTGGTTTTGTCGTTTTTTTTATTTTTTTTTATGAGCGGTTCATTTACACCTTGGGTGATTTTATAATGAGGCTCATGTTTCTTTGACTGGTTACTGATTGAGTTTTATGTCTGTTTAGTGCCTCTTATTATCACCATTAGATTCCCGCATATTTTCCATTCATCTGAGGGGCATCATCCGTTCCTCCCTAGATTATTCACGCCTTGTCACTTAGGAGCTGATCATAGTTTTAAGTCACATGAGAGTTGGTGGTCGCAAAAATCAAGGTTTGATTTGATGTGAAACAAACTGAGGAGTGCCAGGCTGGCAATGTGAGAAGCTTATACCCTAAAAGATTTAGGCCACCTGTTCAGAAGGCACCTCACATTGGGTGTCTTGTGGGCAGGAGGTACCATAAGGAAACAAACAGGAGGCAAGTGGACCTCCAGATGGCCGAGGTCTTACCTGAATCCCAATAAGGATCCCCTTCTGTGGCAGCTTGAAGCCTGTGGAGAGCATAGCTTTCAGGAAGGCTGAATAAATGTTTGGTCCAAAACAAGCCACCTGCAAGAAAACACATGAACAGACCCCACATGAGTAACTGTAAACACTGACTCTCCAAATTAGTTGGGAGAAAAAAGAATTACACAAGAATTAACGGAAAAATTGGGTGCCATTGTTTTCAATTTGCTCACTTCTCCAGTGGAGGCCATCTCACAGCGAAGCACAGGGTCTGCATCCCTCAGTCGTGGCCAGGAGAACATTGGTGCCTGGTGGAAGGAGGGAAGAGGGAAAGATTTGTTTTGACATGGTTTTGAAATAATAGGACATAACCACATGTGATGCTAATGAGCTACTATTGAAACTCCACGTCCTTTTAGGAATCTCCTTGTTTAGTTGCAACTAGCACTTGAGTCACAATGTCATTTGTTCAGCTAAATCACAAAGATGGTTTCCCATTCTCCTTGTATTGTTGACCAGTTATATACAAATTCCCACTGACTGACCATGAAAACCAACTGCTATTACCAAAGCAGTGGGGAATAGAAAAGAACATCCAATAAAACAGCAACCAATAGATAATCATTTGCCATATTTCTAATTATGATACAGAATGTTTGTTGTCAACTGGAATCACTTCAGGGATTTGCTGCCACCTATAGGGGAAATAAAGCTTGCATTACCTTAAAAAGTAACTAGTGAACTGAGGCTGGCAGTTGTATATGTATATGGAAGAATAAAGGTCACTGTCTGTTTAATGACAAATAAAAACTCATACAGACCAAATATGAGCGATTTTTTTCACCCAATACCAATCATTTCATTTTGCAAAGCACCATTACTGCTTCAGCTAGAAAACTTTAAGGGCACATCAGAAAATCAGAGGAGAGAGAGGGTGACGCTTAGATTAAAAATTAAAAAAATTAACATTACAACTGCTGGTACAGACTAAAAAAGGAAATCCAAAAAGAAGAGGACTTCTTAAACTGCAGGACACCAGTCTCTTTAATGACCTGTTTGACATGCTGTCTCCATGCTGAGAAGAAGGGGAAAAGAAAATAGGTGGCTTCACTGACAAAGAAACACCAGGGTGAGCCAGAAGAGGAAAGGAAGCTTGGACTAGAAGAGAGAAAATGAAAGACTACTGGGAGGATAGGTCAGGAAGTGAAGACAGTGAGGAGAGAAAAAAATAAGAGGAAATTAATAAAATGACTTGAGTGCAGACAGGGAACGTAAGAAGGAAAATTACATAATAAAACAAAAGGAGAAGGAAAGGAGGAGATACAATTACAAAAGTTAAAAGAGGAGAAAATGACTGTCAGGAAAATGCAGGAACAAGAGCAGAACGTAGCATCCGCTTGTTATTGTGTTACAGACAAATTTAGAATATTGGGGCGCCATGTGGAAAGCCATTCTTATTTTTTTTCATGTAAAAGACAACCCCCATCACCTAGAAGAAAGAAAGGAGGTGTGGCATTGTGTGGCTCATGTGTTCACACACACTGACACACACACACACACATGTAGAGGCAAGGGCCACAAGGGGGGGATTCATCCTTGAAGCGGGCTATCTAATCAGCTGAATGTAATGTTAGCATACTAATGTAAGAAGGGACGAAAAGAAGAGAATGCAGACAGAAAACCAGCATCCCTTATCATGGCTTTGTTCAAAGAGTTGGAGAAAGACAGGGAAGTATGCAGAGATAAAATGGTGGAATGTAACCAAAAAAGAAAATGAAATAGAGGGAGACGAACACGTACAGAGATGGAATAACAGTGAGGGCGAACTTTCGATTGTACAGTAAAAAAAAAAGACAAGGAACTACAATAATATAAATGGCAGAAAGGACAATTTGTGAAACAAAGAAATAGTGACACAGAGACGTTTGCAGGTCTCTGAGTAAATGTAAATCCAGAACAGTTGATTTGTACATCATCCAAATGAAGAGGGATCCTTATCCACCAAATCTACTGCAGCCTCTTCTTAGTCATTAAAACTACGAAGCAGATATGAAAGTGGAAATATAATCTAACCACAAACAAGAGGCAAAGAGAGGAAAGCAGTGAGAAAAATGGCATCACCAACACCCGGGGAGATTTAAATGCTGTGAAAATGAGAAAACCATACACAAGTCTTCATGAACAGAGAATGGTGTGTCTTAGTAACAGGATGTATGTGACTGTCACAGTAACCAAGCCTCTCTAACCACAGCATCCAACCAGCACACACACACAAACATTACCGCCCCATCTCCCTATCCCACACCGACCGCCCACTCCTAACAGACAGTAGAACTGCGAGGCTCCGCAACATGAACAATGTTATCTTGGGGCAGCAGCTGAGCTCCAGTGGAAAAAGGAATGAATAAAGTAAGACATTTCCACATAACATTGTTGCTCACTGTGGGCCTTGTTGGAGGCGGAAGTGGCACCTGTGTAAATGTCTTTATATTCCCAGCTGAATGGAAATTAACAGCTACATTTTGTACCTACAGATTAATGAATGGTAATTCATTATTCATTGTCATTAATGAACGATTCATTAATCTGTAGGGTTTTTTTTTCTTTTAATGATACTGCAAATGACAGATATTTTGATAAGGTTCCATGTTCTGAAAACTCCTGATGTGACCCGATGTGGAAAGGAGAGCTAAATAGTTGGTAGGGCATTACAAGGTGAGTTTCTTTTTTTCCTTAAAGGGGACTGCTTTTGAATTTCTAGATGGCCAGTACGAGGTGACTGCTGTTGTTTTTGGTGTGGATTCCAGAGTGTAGCTAGTACACACATGTAGTACATGTAGCATTAGTGACAGTGGTGTTTCAGTGTATCATTTGGGAATAAAGAGAGAAAATTGTGGGAGTGGGAGGGGATTTAAAAAAATTTCTCTTCCTGAGTGGCAGCAGCTGGACTGTCGCAGGCTAAAAATCTGGAAAAAATTCAAAAGAAAGGATAAAACTTTGATAGATACCTGTTAAAAAAATGTCAAAAATTATTTAAAGCAATAAAGTTCCATATATAGTGACCCATTCAAAGGTGAAATAAATGTATTCTGTCAAATGACTCCCTATATAGAGAAGTGTGTTAGTGCAAATGTCTAAAACTGTATAACAGCCAGAAGTCAAAGCACAGATGTCAGTAGGCAAGAATTTTCAGTGTATCATATGTACATGTGGGAGATAAAACTATGTGACACATTATCTGACAGGGTGGATATATGTAGTAATCATTATATGACTCATAACGAGCAGATATTTCTGTGCTAACGTGCAGTTTCTCCAGTTATACTTGGCATTAACATAGCCTCCTTACATTAAAGTGTTTCTATGTTTATGATGTCTACGACGTTTCGAGCTTGGTTTTTCTTGGGTCATTAGGTTCACAAGAATGTGTCTATTTCAGGAGTCACCATAATGCCTTGCATGCCATGGTCAAGGGGACAAAATATCCAACAGTTGGAGGTTATTTTTCTTCAGCCATTAAGTGTACACAGGGGACGGACACCAAATCAGCTTCCTCCTCCTCAGATGTTGTTTTCATGCTCTTCTTCCTCTTAGTGTCATAAATACAACTGTGTTATCGTTCCTATGAGTTTGTGTATAGAGACAGAAATTACACAATGGGGACTTGTTAGTGAAAAGAAAACAACATGGCCTCAAACAAGGGACTGTCAGAGGAAAGAGACAGCAAGAGCAACAGAGTGAGGTTGAGAAGGAATGAGAGATAAATGAAGATGGTGTCTCTGGATGACAATGACTTGAACCTTGTGATGATACAGTGAACTTAGTGTGAATACATATTGATGGCACACACTTCAGGCTACAAAGGCTGTATAATAGTTTCAGACATCACAGTGTGTTTACAGTGGGGGCTTGATGTTATGGCGGCAGTAATGTGTTTAACGGGAAGAAAGAAATTAGCACTACTTCATTAAACAATCGTCATGTAATGTGGCACAGTTTCCAGCACAGCCTGTATCAGTCAGGGTATATGAAGTCTGTATCGTAGACTCCAAGTAAACTCTGGAAGTCTTTTAAGCTTGGTGCCTGGAGTATTCAGAGCTCTGATTAATATTCCTCACCACTGTGCAGCCTAGAAATTGAAAACTTTAGGTGGTGAGGAGGAGTGGGGGATTATACCTGCGTGATTGGCTCCAAACTACAGCCATTGTTACAGCAGCTCTGTTGTAATTAGAGGGAGAAATTACTTTGGAAAAAATAGCTTTGGAACAGCTGGCGACACGTAAACTCTCTCATACCCAATCTAAGAAGTAAGCCTCCCAGCCAGTATGAGAAAGCACCTACTACTCCCCACCATCATGCCTAGTAGACAGGATGGAGCAGTAATTGCTGTCTTTGTTATGTGATCCAAAGAAAGTTGCACTAGCAGAGCCTGCACTACCTATTAAGACATCACCCAAGTAGGGCTCTTTACATAGGAACTAATTTTCCGACTATACATAATATATCAGACTATAGGAAGCTCCGAAACATGGTTATTAGGGACTTGTAACAGGTAGCTATTACCCCTCAGCTCACCGTTGTAGTTTTGGCTTTGAGAACAATTCACAACTCAATAGGCATATAAAAACCTTTAAAACACATTGTATACTATTAAAAATCCCTGTCAGTAAATACAGAGGAGAGCTGCAAAGGAAATGTAGTTTTCCCGTTGCTTAGAAGGCACAGAAAAGCACAGGTGTTACTAATGACATTAACAAAAAGCTACATTCTATTCAAGTGTCCCACTAAGTCATGACAGTGTGACCGTGAGCCAGCATGCACAATACCAGGACCCTGAAACTTACATAATTAACTGTCATATTTACACCTGTGCTTTTCCTACTATGACATGTCTTCTGCAAAAAAAATGCTTATCATGATTATAATTCTGGTTCTTATAACTGCATCAAAGCCCTGCTTGCCCTGTTACAAAACCATTTCACAGGGCAGCCAATGACAAGAGCATGCTTGTTGTGTTGTTGAGGCCTCACTTACTTATAGGGCCATCAATTTCTTATTAATTTATTTATCCATACATCCATCCATTCACTCTCTGTAGTAAAATTAACATTAAAATAAAACAAATTAAGAAGACTGAAGAAAGCCAGTCCCACAGTCCCCAGCTGTAAACAGTTATTTCAGTTTTCTCACCTTGATGCCAACATAGTCTACGGGAATGATGGGTTTCTCCAGCGAGGGCAGGCTGGCCTCATCCAAAGGCTCTCCCACCATCACTTTGGTTGCCACATTGATAAAGTCCACGCTGATTGTTTTTGATACAAAAGGGAAGGAGCGTGACGCCCGCAGATTACACTCTATCACCTAAAAGGATACACAGCACAAATAGTGTCATTGCAAAAAAGAAGACAAGTTAATGTGCACATTGGCTAAGGCTAATCAACAGATAAACACGCTCTGTGCAAATACATAGATTACCGATGCACACACGTGGAACAAATGGCAAAAATATATACATACACATTTTCTGTATGTGTACTGTAGCTGGAACATCAAAATTTAAGGCAACATTGATCATAAAACCCCAAGACAAGGTGATTTCAGTTTGTGAGTGAATTGCATTTGCTGCAACCAGATGTGAAAATGCCAATCTATCATTTTGTCATACCCTGGGAAATAATACCTACCATGACATCATTGCCTTTAACCAGAAACTGAGTGTTAAAGGGTCCTGAAATTTCAAAAGCTTGTGCAATTTTGCGGGTGGCAGTCTTAACCTGAGAGCAATGGAAAAAGAAAACAGACATAGGTAATATATACGAGGTTGTCTGTAAAGTGTTTCATACCACAGTATCTCCCTATACAGATATGATGGAGAAAAAAATGCATAAGCACATCATGGTTTAACTACACATGGAAAAGAGTTAAAGAGCTTGTTTTCTATAGAACATGAACTTGTTCATCAAAAATTATACTACAGTTGAAATGGTTCGAGTCACTATGTAAATGCTGAGGATAATTTAACTGACCTTTTCTAGTGCCCCCTGGCTAATAGTCTGGGTTGGTAGCATTAGGGTGGCATCTCCTGAGTGAACCCCAGCGTCCTCCACGTGCTCTGTTATGGCATGGACCAGAACCTGGACAGACACGCAGTGATTATGTCACACTTAAAATATTTGCATACTGATTATAACTCTAATAAAACAGAAATCCAAAGCAACTCAGCCTTTACACCCTGTTCTCTGATGAGATTTTTACAGACTTAGAGGCAGATGGTCTCCAGACTGGATGTATTTATACAGTATGTCACTGTGCAAAATAGTATACAAAAGTGCAGTGTCAAAATATGTTGAGACAGTTCTAAAACAGTGAGTGATGCACTGCATGTAGAGGAAATATATTCAGTCAACACTGTTGACCTGACTGAAAAAGGGCTCAGGAGAAAGGAAAAAGGGCCCATACTTGTTGACAGAGCTGGTAAGTAACCATGCACGTGCATATGCAGTGTCAAAAGAATAACTTCCAACATTTCATCCACAGGAAAGGAGATTTGTATCACCAAGCAACTGCGAATGTGTGTGTCTGTAAATGAGCTGCTGTGTCATTAGTTCATTTAAACTGCTGCTAACCACCGCATTCATTAGCACTCTTCAGATAGAGTCTGTAATTAATATGTATTATCTCTGACTTTTCCACTCTCCCACACATATACTCACTCTCTCTCACACACATACATAGGCTGGCCAGGAATAATGAAGCCTGTTTGGTATTCAATGAATGGACAGCTTGTTAATGTGATACTGAAGATAAAGGAGGGGCTGCATTCAGGGAAAGTAGAGAGAGAAAATCTACCATACAACTGGTTTGCCCACGTTCAAACTGACACCCTTGAAATGACTCCCAGGGCCTAGACAATAGAAAAATAGACAGGGCATTGAGGACAAGTACCCAGGTGGCTCTGCTGTGTACTGCAACTTACAATGCTAACAATTAAACAATTTTAAGTTTTCCATTTTACTGTTAATCTGAGACTTCCATGATTAAATGGGACATCTTAAACATCTAGCTTTCAGTATTTGATAGAATGTTCTTCTTTTGTGACTTTCAAGTAACACTGAAATCTGAACACACTTTTACTTTTAAACTTATAAAAGATGCAGTTCAACAGGAGAGGAAATGAAACATAAACAGGTAACTTTCCAATAAATGGATTCAAGTATTTTAGGAGTTTTCCATAACATTCTTTGAAACAAACTAGGTTGAACATAATATTAGCATATATGTGCATAACATTCATAATAGAGCAACAAATTTACAATTAACGGAAAAAGTATCAAAAACTCATGTTGGTTAATTCGGTTAATACTTCCCCAATGCATGTGTTCATGAACTGTCCCCTTAAAAAAAAATCATGTTCAGTTACGCGCCTCCGCCCCATCCTACTAACATTGGTCTGTGTTAACTGTTAATTCAAAGCGAAGCTAGCAATATTGATGACATGAGCGCAAACACTGAGCCTCAGGTTTCGTCCACACTAATAAGTTTTAGTTTTAAAATGCATCACTTTTGCTACATTTACTTCCACACTACTCCAGAGTTTTCGAGCCTCTAAAAAAGAGACTTTTGCCGGCCCGTTTTAGTTTGAAAACTCAAACAACTGGTTTTGTGCTGTCATCTGGATGGGCAGAAACTGAGACTTTTGGAAACACTGATGCAGACATCTGCCTCATTTACTGAATGGGTCTCATCAGTTACGTCTACCAGACAATGGTGAATGCAACATGGATAGGTAACACCATCAATTTGTTTAGTTACTTGACACACAATCACATTGCAGAATATGAAGAGTGTATTGGCTAAAAAAAAAAAAAAAAGAGACCGATAAGCACCAAAGTAATCGTTAATTAATCATGAACAAGGTAAAAGTTTGAAAAAAAAAAAAAAAAAAACGCATATCTGTGGCGCATGTCAATCAGGTATGAAAACCCTAAACTGATCTAATGTAAAAAAGACAAAAATGATTTAGTGGCACCACTTTCCTGGATTTTGGTTTTCATGTATTCCAGTCTCCCTATCAGATCTGTCTGGGCTGTTACATCTTTTCATTGAAGATGGATGAGATTACTTCCACTTTATTCATCTACTGGGCTCACTATCTTTTATACCTCTCCATTTAATAGGAAAAATAATGGAGGACTGAATAAGGCGAGACTACTGAGATTAATAACAATGTTACGGTTATATATTAAAATATGGTCAGGGTGTCAATATACAGACAAGATAGACAAATAATGTTGTTGTAGTGCAAAACTATGTTACATTATGTAGAGAATGTATACTGTATGAAACCTACGTTTTGGTGCTTGTAATTAAAGCAGGCAGAACATAATAGGTCTGGTGTATGTTGTCTTTCCATATACGTACTGACAACACAATGGCATGGCAATGGTTACAGACAAAAGCCTGTATAACTGGTGTTGGACCTCAGTCCATTCAAATGGTGGAGGCCACATGTTCTTTTGTGTGCACAGACAAAGAACAGCCACTTCAATTCTGTCCCCCAGTGTCGTATACCTTTCACACCTGGGTGTGAAACCCACTCAGGTGCCTAACAACCAGGTAGTATTGGTCATTGTGTGACATGTGGCCCAGGGCATCACCAGCTACCATGCCAACAAAACTCAGCTGTTCTCTCTCTGCTCAATTCCAGGTGTGGGACAAGCATGGCTCTCAGCACCAGGTTAGCACTGCTGCTAACTGAAACCTCTTCTCTACAGGACTGCTGACAGCATACTTCTGCACTGCACTCTTTCTCAACACAGAAGTCAAGGGTGTAGGTCATTGCTATTGTGGCATGTATCAGGAACGTGCAGGAAGAGGAGTACAGGGATCTGACGATGGCCTTCAGTGAATGGAGCAACAAGAACTGCCACCTTCTGAACACCTCCAAGACCAAGGAGATGGTCATTGACTTTTGGAGGTCTAGACTCACCCTTCAGCCAGTCAACACTAGAGGGAATGACACTGAGTAGGTGCACACTTATAAATATCTAGGAGTGCACCTGGACAGTAAACTGGACTGGTCCCTGAACACGGATGCCATCTACCGGAAGGGGCAGAGCTCAGGTCCTTTGATGTCTGCAGTGAAATGCTGCACATGTTTTATCAGTCAGTGGTGGCCAGTGTACTTTTTTTTATACTGCAGTCTGCTGGGGCAGCAGCATGTCAGACATGAACACAGGGAGACTGGATGAGCTGGTCAAAAAGGCTGGGTCTGTGCTTGGCAGGAGTCTGGACTCACTCAGGACTGTTGTGGAGAGATGCATTGCAATGTAAGATGGAAGCCATCTTAGACAATACCAACCACCCTCTCCACAATGTTCTGGCAGGACAGAGAAGCAGCTACAGCTGCAGCAAATGTGTCATCTCGCTGGGCTGCAAAACAGAGAGGTTCAGGAGATCCTTTGTTCCCACTGCCATCAGGCTATAAAACAACTCTGCCAAAGGAAGTTATTATTAACTGTTATTATTATTATTACCAGTGAGCTACTGGAAACGATAAATAAAGTATCTGTCTGCCTATGCATTTTAGTATGTATGTAGTATGGATGTTCTACCAGTCTGTGGTGGCCAGTGTCATCTTCTTTGCTATAGTGTGCTGGGGGTAGGCATAGGGAGCTGCGGCACTTTGAATATGAAGTATGTGAAGATGGCCCGCTCTGTGGTGGGGATAGAACTGGACAGTGTGGAGGCAGTGACAGAGAAGAGGATGAGAGGAAAGCTGAAACCTATCATGGACAACCTCTCTTATCCCCTCTGTGCTGAACTGAGACAGCTCAGGAGACTACACAACGCCAAAGCACCCGCAGTTTAAAGACTCGAATCTGTATATAACAATAGAACCCGGACAAACTGAATCAATCGACTAATTCTTTATATCTGTTTATATTTGCACATGTACAAAAGCCTACTCGTATAGAAAAGCCTATTCATGTTTAGAAATGCTTACCTTCTTAAGTTATTGTATATAGTATTTCTAATGATCTTATTTACTCTAGATTCTGTTTCTATTCTTATTATATTTCTTTATTACATTTAACCCCTTGTGCTGCTGCTGTGTCAATTAGAATTTCCTCTATAGAGGATCAATAAAGATATATCTTGTCTTGTCTGATCTTTTCATGAAAACGTCACAGCATAGTAAGGCATAAAAATGTCATAATATGGTAATAATATAGTAGACAAAAAACTTCAAAGTATAGGAGGGCTTAAAACGTCAAAAAAAAATCAAATTCTCTAAAAATGTCATGCTATTGTATGGCAAGAAAAAAGTCATAGTATACTAAGGCATATAAAGTCAAAATTCGTCATAGAATAGTAAGGCTTAAAACGTCAAAAAAGTCATAGTATAGTAAGGCAAAAATTGTCAAAAAATGTCATGCTATAGTATGGCAAAATAAAAAAAAGTCTTACTATACTAAAGCATAAAAAGTCAAAAAACATCATAGTAGAGCTTAAAACGTCAAAAAACGTCATAGTATAGGAAGGCATAAATTGTCAAAAAATGTCATGCTATAGTATGCCAAAAAAAAAAGTCATAGTATACTGAGGCATATGAAGTCAAAAATTGTCTTAGTATAGTAACGGTTAAAACGTCAAAAAAAGGTCATAGTATACTAAGGCTATATTGTCTAAAAATATCATGCTATAGTATAGCAAAAAAAAAAAAGTCATAGTATACTAAGACATGAAAAGTCAAAAAACGTCATAATATACTAAGGCATAAGTCATAAGAAAGTCATAGTACAGTAAAGCATAAATACTTAAAAAACGTAATAGTATAGTAAAGTATAAAAATGTCAAAAAATAAGGCATGAAACGTCACAGCAGAATAAGGAATGAAAATGTTTAAAAACTTCATAGTATACTAAGACATAAAAAAGGAAGAAAATCATAGTATAGTAAGGCATAAAAACATGAAAAAACGTCATAGTATAGTAAAGCTTAAAACGTCAAAAAAGTCATAGTATTGTAAGGCATAAATTGTCAAAGAATGTCATGCTATAGTATGGCAAAAAAGAAAAACTCATAATATACTAAGGCATAAAAACATGAAAAAACGTCATAGTATGGTAGA